TTGTTTGTGTTCATATTTGTTGTTATTATTTTGTTGTTTCACATTTTGATGTTGTTCATATTATGCTGTTGTTCATATTTTGCTATTTTCTTGCTGATATTAACATCTTAATTTTTATCATTATCATTACTATTGTTGTTGCTGTTGTTGTTCTTCACCTTCTTTCTATTGTTAATGATGATAACATCAACGACAATTATAATAATAAAAATAAAAATAGTCATTATTATTGTAATGATAATAATAATAACAATAATAATTATGATAACAATTATAGTATCATCATTAACATTATCATAATCATTATCATCATTATTTTCATTAATATTGCTAATATCATTACCACTACCTATCATTATCGTTATCGTTATTAGTATCATTATCAATATTATCATTTTCATCAATATTAATATGATTATCATATATATTATCATTATCATCAGTATCAATATCGTTATTTATTATCATATATCAATATCAATATCGTTATCATTATCATCAATATCGTATTATTATTATAACAAATATTATCATCATCATTATAAGTATTATCATTGCTATCATTATCTTTATTATCCTAATTATCACTATCATTATTATCAATATCACTTTCATAATCGTCATCTGATGTTGCTACTGGCTTTTCCTTCATTAATATTACTATCATCATCATTTGGGCCGGATTTATGCCCTACCCCCCCCCCTCCCCACCCCACATCGCAAGTGCGCCTGTGAAAAAAAAAAAAAAAAAAAACTCAAGTACGTATTTTCGGTCCTAAGGTCAGACTCATAAGTCAAGCGCGAGTCTAAGTCGTCTAAAGTCTAAATCCACGTCTAGTAAGTCTGAAGTCTAAATTAGATTAAATATTGGTAATCAAACGATTCTAACGATTTGATATTCTTACAGTTTTCAAGTGAGTTTTGATAACAAATATCAGTCAGATCAGATTGGAACGAAATGGCGATGACATTTCTAGTTATGTAAAGTACTTCCCAGCAAATATGTGGGTCGCTTGCAGGTATATATGTGTGTGTTGTGTGTGTGTGTGTGTGTGGTGTGTGTGTGTGTTGTGTGTGTGTGTTGTGTGTGTTGTGTGTGTGTGTGTGTGTTTAATATGTGTGGTTGTGAGAGAGAGAGAGAGAGAGAGAGGAGAGAGAGAGAGAGAGAGAGAGAGAGAGAGAGAGAGAGAGAGAGAGAGAGAGAGAGAGAAGAGAGAGACAACCAGTTGAGTAGTCCCCTCTTGGAAAGACTGTTACCCTTATTGACATTATTATATGCTGTTATTATTCTTGACAGTTCTCAAATCCCATCATCATTAAGATATTCCTGTTTATTTTTCATTTTCATTGTGATGAACACTCTAAATACTGCCTCCGCAATACCATCATCAACGATAGCCTCAATTATCATTTTATCATATCATCAATTAATGCGATCGTGATTTCTGTAAATATTGCATTGAACACTTGTTTTTCTAATTCAATTTCTCGTTTCCCATTGTGCTGTCTTATCAAGTGTTATCATTATCTCCACACCGATCTCATTGTCAAGTGTCAACCTTTCACCTTGATTTGGGCGACCATATTGCGGTGGGGTCATGTTTGTCGTGTAATGCCAATAAACGCGATAATAGCTTATCCTAATCTCTTACCTGTCATCGTGCACACACATATCCATTACCATACATACGATAAGAGACAAACATATATGCAGACGAGCACGTACACATGGACTAATTAACTATGCACCTACACAATGCCAATCAGCACACACACACACACACACACACACACACACACACACACACACACAGAGAGAGAGAGAGAGAGAGAGAGAGAGAGAGAGAGAGAGAGAGAGAGAGAGAGAGAGAGAGAGAGAGAGAGAGAGAAGAGAGAGAGAGAGAGAGAGAGAGAGAGGCACTCACACAACTACACTATACACAAGACATCGTGAACACATACAACCACGCACACATACACGCAGAAGCACAATGCAGACTGCGTGGATACTGCTGTCACAAACGCGCATTTAGCAAAAGAAGAAGAGGCATGGAGCTAATGGCAGACAGCAGCAGAAGTTACGCCATCTAACCCTAGTAACCTTCTTACCTTGAAAACTGGTTTCTTGGTTTAATAGAAGGATATCGTCGCCGGTACTATGTTTTCCGAAGGACTCTTATGCTGTTATAATGACTTTTGGGACAGAATAAATGTTCGGAATGAATTTCATGTTAGATTCGAGAAAATCTGGAAATGCTCAGCGGTTGTAGATGGCTGACGAAGTGTCTAAATATATTAGCAGTAAAATGACTACTTGGCTCCTGCGTCCCTTGGCGAAGTTCGCTGCCAGGCAAGTCTCCAGCGGACAGTTATCGTACAGACGTGGTGGAGTGAGAATACGCCGCTCGCTTATGGGAAAAGTTGTGAGGTATTTTGTGTGATAACTCCGGATTCCTTTGACAAGCTACAGCTCTTGGATTTATAATTTCGATACTTAAAGGTAAGTGTTTGGTGCCCCTGTGTATTTATCTTTTATTTTTTGTTTGTTTTCCATTTCTTACATTCAGATTGTTGAACGAAAGGGAAAGTTTGGGGGAACTTGCTCGTCAGACTCCAATACTTAATATTTATCGATATACTGGCACCTCGTGTCTTGCTGGACATGTCCTGCGTTATTTGATGTCTTTAAGTATTTATCTTTTCCTCGTGACCCGCAAAACTGAGACGACAGAGTGAAATTTGCCAGACCACAAAATCACAGCCTTGTGAAATTTCCCGCGGGCTCAAGGACAAATAATGATATACAGTCAATGCGAATAAGAAGAGTGGAGGAAAAGAAAAAGGAATATTAAGAATAGAAATAAAATACTTTCCTTGCTCCAGTAAACTCTGTTAGAGTCCCTGCCACACTCACCCAGAGGGTGAATCACCCTCTCTTTAGCTGGCGCATTCCTTATAAAGAGGTCCGTACAGTGAGCATCACGTGACCGAAAAACCTGTAGGGGAAGGAAGGTGTCCGCGTGGTCTGGCTTGTTACTATCCACTCTAAGGGCTGTTCGAGGGTTCGTATGGCCCCGCTGGTGGCCGTAGCGGTGAAGTGGTGGACTGGAGGGGATGGGGAGGGGGGCTCCTAGAGGGGGCGGGGCCAGGAATGTTTTTCATGCTGAACGCGAGCGGTGTTGTCGCCAGGAGTTCACGTTGGTCTGTTTATTTGTTTATTTTCTCGGTATGGGTCGACTTTTGCCTCGGGTACAAACGCGGTCTTAAGAGAAGGAGCTTCAGTTACAGTGTTACGATTGGTATTATTTATAATTGAGCGTTTATCGAGAATGTTTATTTTAATATCAGATTTGATACGCTGAAGTGGGTGTGCACAAGGGTGCGGGTGCCAGCTTAACGGGGTTACGTGTCTGCGTGAGGGAGGTGCGGGTGCCCTAGTGGCCTGATAATGCATCTGCAGATGGCATTAGCGTAATGTTGTAATTCCTCTGGGCTATTCTACACGGAGTGTCCAGTTTATGAATTGACGTTACATTGTTATACAACTTAGCTGCTGTACAACAAGGCAAGAATCTATGTGTTACTGTCGGACTCGTAAACCCGTCCCTTCCTTTTTTTGTCTCTAAATGGCGTGGGCAACTTAACCCTACCAGTTGCCTCACGGAGCTGTTGTACGCACATTGCATAGGGATATATGTGTAGTACTTCACATGCTAATTCTATCTATTATGTCCCATATTAGATGGAATTAGCCCAATTTTCTGTCATCTTTCACGAAATATATTATATCTGAAAACATTGTCAAGATGTGGTCATGCTGAATAAGAAAAAAGTATGAACATAATGCAAGCTTATTCTGGGTCACATGATTTATTCAAATATGTTGCAAGGCGGGAGTAACGCTCTTCCATCGTTGTGGGAAATCAATGTTTATTGAACGTCTTCCTCTCTGCGCCGAAAATACCTTATGAGTAACCAGTGTATGAAACAGGACGTGGTGATCAGAATATTAAAATCCCTAATTAGCTTAATTGCTCATCATTTAGCCTCAAATCGACGCAAATGATGATCATATTTTCCTAGTTTGCATTGATTGACATCTACCTCGTCTCGTTTATCTAGAACAGATGTATTTACACCTGTATTTTCAGCATCTCAAAACCTCTTGAAGAGCCTAACTTGCATGGGCCTAGTGCATGCGTGTGTGTGGCGAATGAGATTTTTGTTTGTCTACCTACACTTGGTTAATATTTAACAGTAAGAGAAGTGATGCTGATACAAATCGATAGCATAGATAGAATTATAATCCAAGGTGGTTATTGTAGTTTAAATGCTGTGTATTTATGAAAGTATCGCTATTGATCGTGCCAGAAAAAAACTGGGGATTTATTAAAGTATCGCAGTTGACCACGTTCTCCAGGCATCGCGGAGACGCAAGAGCCCCGAGGCGATCAGAGCAGGCGGCCTAACCTGCACAACGCGAGGCAGTTGATTCTGTTGACGGTCCGTGATGCGCCAGTCCCGTCCCTTATTTAGTTGCGTGCGTCGCCATTGTGGTTCTGCATTATTCATGGTCGGTTTGTGTTGACCATACAAATCTTGCTCCGCGACGGGGGAAGGGGGGGGGAGGGGAGGGGAGGGGGGACAGGGAGGGGGTGTGTGGGAGAGGGGAGGGAGGGTGTGTGGGAGGGGAGGGGAAGGGTGTGAGGGAGAGAGGGAGGGGAGGGTGTATGGGGTGAGGAGAGAAGGGAGGGGAGGGTGCTTGGAAGGGAAGAGAGGGGAGGGAGGGTGCTTGGGGAGAGGGAAGGGAGGGTGTGTGGAGGAGAGGGGAGGGGAGGGTATCTGGGGTAAGGGAAGGGAGAAGGGGAGGGTGCTTGGGGGAAGAAAAGGGGAGGTATTTTGGGTAAGGGGAGGGGAGAGTGCATGGAAGAGAGGGGAGAGGAGGGTGCCTGGAGGAAGAAAAGGGGAGAGGAGGTTGCGTGCCTGAAGGGGAAGGCTGGGTGGTTCTCGACGTCGTTCCTTTGTGTTAATTGGTTTCCGTTGTTGGGCGTAGGTTTGGTTAAGCTGTCGAGTCGTCGGGTTTTGCTCGCGGGATTCCCTTTGTGGTGCGGGATGACCGGGATCAGTCCGGCGCCGTCGATGGTGATGAATGGGCGAAGGAGACACGGGTGGGTCCTTTTCTCCATTTTATTTATTTATTTATTTATTATAGTTTCCTCTTTCTTGTTTCCTTGGCACGTTTTCTTCCGTCTTCACCTCCTTACTTTCTCATCCGTGTCTTCCTTCTGTATATTCCTTTTTTTTCCTTTCTCCCATTTTTCCTCTTTCTCCCTTCTCCTGTGCTCTACCTTTCCACCGTCCTCTCCCATTCCTTTCTTCCTTTTTACCGTCTTCCTCTCCCCATTTCCCCCCGTGCCCTACCTTTCCACGTCCCTCAATACCCCCTCTTTCCCCCTTTCCCTTCCTCGTCTTTCCTCCCCCTTCCCCTTTCCCTTCCTCATCTTTCTTCCTTCCTTCCCCCTTCCTCCTCCTTTCCCCCCTTCCCTCTTTCCCCCATCTTCCTTACCCCCTCCGTACATCTCCCCATCTCCCCCTCTCCCGGACATCTCCCCCCTCCCCACCGATCATCTCCCCCCTTCCCCTACACCTGCAACCCAGCCTAACCGCACCGCTGTCTTCGTAAACAAACACGTGGCGGGTGCTTGTTGTTGACGCAGTGTGTTGTGTTACAATTTAACCTCGTCAGGCCTGAGTAGCGAGTGGTGGTCGAGGTAGTTTAAAGCCAGGTTAATGGAACGAGGGGAGGGGCGAGAGGGAGAGAGAGGGGCGAGGTGAGTCCTAGGGGAGAGGGGGTGCGAGGTGAGTCACAGGGGGGAGAGGGAGGAGTATGGGGTAGAGAGGGCGGAGGTTTTGGGAAGGGGATGTGAGGGTTCCTAGGGATCGAGGGGAGGAGAGGGGAAAGAGGATGGGAGGGAGTCCTAGGGGTCGAGGAGAGGAGAGGGGGCTGTATGGCGGGGAGGGGATGAGAGGGGAGTTCTAGGGGAGGAGAGGAGGTGTAAGGATGGAAGGGACGTGAGGGGAATCGAAGGGGGTCGAGAGGAAAACTTTGTGAAGGCGCCACTTGATTTTTAAGTTGCAGCAAAACCGCCTCGCCTGACGTGATGTTCCCTCAAGTTGAACCGCCGGGCGCAGGGACTCACCGTAGTTAGTTAATTTGAGGAAAAGGGCAAGGCAAGATTGGGTGGAGCGAGGACAGTACCTTTGATAACTCTTTTTTCCCCTCTCTCTGTGCGATACCCTTGCCCCCCTGTCCCCCCCCTCCTCGTCTCCCGTCTTCCCTTTGCGTTGTTCGTTTTCAGTCTATTCAATCTCTCCTTCTCGCTTATTCCTCGTCGTTTTAACCTCTTTCTTTTTTAGTCTTTCTTCTCTCACCTGGTTGTTTTATTCTCGCTCTTTTCTGTCCCTTCTTCCCTTCCTCCTCTCCCCTACTGGCGCTCTTTGCTTTCCTTTCCCTTCCTCTTACCTTGTTCGAATAGCTTCCCTACCCTACAGTAGTCTTCTCTCTCTCTCTCTCTCTCTCTCTCTCTCTCTCTCTCTCTCTCTCTCTCTCTCTCTCTCTCTCTCTCTCTCTCTCTCTCTCTCTCTCTCTCTTCTCTCTTTATTATTATTGCTTCCCCCTTACCCCCTTCTACCTTTCTTAATTTCCTCTCCCCCTTTACCCTCCTTCTTCTACCTTTAATTTCCTCTTCCCTCTACCGTCTTCCTCTGTCCTTCTTGCTGTGTCCTCCTCTTCCTTTTCCCCTTTCTTCCTCCTCTTACACCTTTCCTCCTCCTTCCACGACGCTCCTCCTTTTGCTCCCCTCATTCCCTCTCCCTTTTTCTCTCCACTCTCACTTCTCTTCTCTCCCCCTCTCCCCTTTTCTCTCCACTTTTCCTTCTCTTCCCCCTTCTATCATCCCTCCTCCCTCTCCCCTTTTCTCTCCACTCTCTCTCCTCTCCCCGTTTCTCACACTCTCCATTCCCTTCCCTCATCCCTCTACCCTCCCCTCTTCCCTTTCTCCCACTCTCACTTTTTTCCCTCCCTCTCCCCTCTCCCCTCTCCATTCTCTTCCCTCTCCCTCTCCCCGTTTCTCTCTACTCACCCTTCTCTTCCCTCCTCCCTCTCCTTTCTCCCCCCTCCTCCCTCCTCCCCACCGCCCCTGCTTACCTGTGCCGCTTTAAACAGTCGAGCAGAACCAGCTATTGTTCGACAAGGAGTGATAGTCGGCATCACGTCGGCTTTGCCAATGCGCCGAAATCGGGTGGAGTTGTTTGAAGGCGTGTGTGTGTGTTCCCGATGCTGAAACTTGGCCTCATTGGCTATCTGAGGAGGAGGAGGAGGAGGGGAAGGGGAAGGGAGGGGGAGGAGGAGGGGGAGGGGAGGAGGAGGGAGAGGGGCGAGCGAGAGAGTGAGAGTGGTTTGGAATTGTTACGTTACGTTGTGGTGCGTTGTTTGTTGTG